GAGAGAGAGAGAGAGAGAGAGAGAGAGAAAGGGGGGAGACAGAGACAGAGATAGAGAAAGAGCGCAGAGACAGACAGAGAGAGACAGAGAGAGAATGTGCGTGTGTGTATGTATGTGTGTGTATCTGTGTGTGACTGTGTGTGTTTATGTGTGTGTGTGTGTGTGTGTGCGCGTTTGTATGTGTAAGTGCGTGCGTGTGTGCCGTATCAATATGTGTTCTTAAAGGCTCTAAATATGATAGGAATTTTCTATATGACAAAGTTCAGCCCCCACCCCCCACCCATTTTTGGGGGGAGCTCTGAAACTACACCCCCATTCCCCTCTGGGCGAGCGAATGAGGGGTGATAGGAAGGTGCCACTGGTAGGTGTTACTTATTGTGAGATGTAAAGCTGGACGTCTTAAAAGTAATAAAACAACGCAACGGCAAAATGGGATTTTTACAGATGTCCAAAGAAGGAGAAAGAAAAAGTAGTTGTTTCTGTTTGTTTATTTTGTTTTGTTTTGTTTTTGGGTGCTGTTACTATTGTTGTTGTGGTTGTTGTTGTTGTTGTTGTGGGGAGTTGTTGTTTTGATGATGTTGTTGTTGTTGTTGTTGCTGCTGTTGCTGCTGCTTCGGTTGTCGTTGTTCTTTTTAGTGGTGATGATGTTTTTGTTGTTGTTGGTGTTGCTTTTGTTGTTGTTTTGTTTTTGGTTTTTTTTTGGTTTTTTAAAATGGAGATGGGTGGTATCATATTTCATCTTTATCTAATGTATTATATACTAGACTCCAACGTGTAACTCGTATCGCACCGACATACGCCATCCCTCAAACAAAGACCATGTTTGTTTTAGTAGAGGTTTTACGGCGCTCACAACTGCATAAGGTCATATGAGCGCCAGTAGATTAGAGGTGTTACAAGAGAGTAACAAACATAAAAAAGAAGAAGTGGAGATAAGGACGATAGAAAAGACCGTGTATAACAAGATAGTTCACTCCTCTCTTTGAGCCAATTAACCAACTGTGCCATTCCCATTCTTCTTCTGGAGAAACCAAAGAAAGCTTCCAAACCATCAATAATTTATTTATAGAGGCACCAGCCATCCGTGTCCAGGTGCTGTTTTAGCCTGAGAGTTCAAAATAAAGACTGCAGCGCCATCAGAACCAATGCGCGGACTTCCGCGGACACTTTTTTGGCAGGGTGAACATTCTTATGTACGATCTTTGTCTGAGTAAACGATCTTGTTATATACGATCTTTGTCTGAGTGAACTATCTTGTTTTGTACGACTTTTGGACAAGTGAACTATCTTGTTATATACGATCTTTGGCTCAAAGAACGCACAATGCCACATTCCGGTGAGCCAGTGACGTTGTCCCAGAGGCAAACTGCCTCATTCCGATACCCGCTCGGCACCAGGGCAACGACACAATCTGCAGCCAACTCGGGCCTGGTGTGTGTGTGTGGGTGTGTGTGTGTGTGTATGAGTGTGTGTGTGTGTGTGTGTGTGTGTGTGTGTGTGTGTGTGTTTATGGGGGTGTGTGGGAGAAAAGGGGGGGGGGAGCGACCCGCGCATCGCGACACTCGTATCCTGCCCACACAGGATCGTAGTCAACGTACGATGAGGGAATAGATAGACGCAGAGATGTAGCTGGTTTTGGTATATAAATTGGCACTGATGACTGTTGGCAATGAGAGTGTGGTGGTTAGTGTGGGGTTGGTGGCGCCATTGTGTGAAGCATGAACCAGTTTTTGTTTTCTAGATAATATTGTGTTTGCGATTTGTTTTCGATAGTTGTAGAGCCATTTCAGCAGACGTGCAAATACACAGATACAGACAGACATACTACAAGCACACACACACACGTGCACACACACACTCACACACACACACACACACACACACACACACACACACACACACACACACAC